AAGTGTTTCAACTGGGACCATTTAAATACTAAAAGGGATTATTTTCTCAATATGTTCTTTCTGAGGTATTGCAGTCATATCCCTCCTCTAGTCCCTGTATCATCTATAAAAAAGATCATCTTTCATTTGCAAGAAAATAAACTACTTTCTCAGCATTCAACATAAATGCAACTCTTTCTGTTCAGTTTAATGCATAGGCATGAATTTCTAGGTATTTCGTGTGTTTTAATCAACACTGAGTGCTATTATATTTCTGTTTTAAGGAAAATTAAGTATTAATTAGAAACTTGCTGTCATCTTGATATTTTACATGTATGCTGAATTTAGTGCATGAGTAGATTTTAAGCATAAATTGTGGTAATCAGAGATCTGGGTGTACATACATTTTCGTTTTTCTGTTTTTGCTTGATCTGTAGATGTTCAAGCAATAATGCTTTTTCAGAAAAAAGAAAACTTGAAAGGAGTGCTTGAGATAATTTTTCAAGATTTCCAGCTTCTCTATTGAGATAGAGAGCTTAAAGGAGAACAGGAGAAGCTTTTCATTCTTGACATACATTGCTGCTCTGTTTTTGTTCTTGAAATGCTTCCCTGCAAGCTTCTTTGGAGAGTGTTTATAGTGAATATAGCAGAAACAAAGTGGATTGTTGTGGGTTTGGATAAGATGCCCTTTTCAGATTTTAGCTATTTTGTTTCTGTACTCAAGTCTTTCAGCATGCTCCCTGAAGTCAAATGCTCTGGCATTGTAAGCTCAGCTGCTTTTATTGCATTTATTTTTGGATGTAGGTTTCCGTTTGTTTGTTTTCTGAAACAATTTGAGAAATGGTTCTCTCATGCCGTCTTGGTCAAATATGTTGCTACTGGAAAACAGCAAGATAAATTTACTAATGCGTTACAAAGTCTTCCTTAATGCATTCAGATTGGCAGATCTACGTGTGCTGGTGACCCAGTATTTGGCAGCACAAGAGCAGGAAATTTGTTGCAAAAGGTAGATGTAATACCTGGCTGTCATTCATTCTTTGCTATTCAGAAAGTTGTATCCAGGGAAATGTGTCAGAATCAAAAAGAACACAATGACAAGCATCTAAATTCACTTAAAAATACTAGATGCTTTAGAAAAATCAAGTGGCAAAACCTTAAGGAAATGTATGTATATATTTGTTTATTCCTAGAAGCATTTTCAATTTTTTTTTTAGTTCTTACCAGTTATGCTCCCGGTCACCTTCCTTGCCGTATGTGCAGAAGAGCTTTTTTTACTTGCTTTCATTTTGTTGTCAGTGTTTTAGCAGGGCAGGAATGTGCAACATTGGAAAGAGCAAAGAAGATTAATACAATTTTGAGTTTTTCCTTCATCTTTTTCCATCTTGTTGCATTCCTGAGCCTGGCTCAAGCTAAGCTATTTGTGCTGCTGTGGTAGTCTATTTTTGAACTGTAGCAACCCTGTAGTAATTCTATGAGGAGAATGGGAAGAAGATAGCAAGCCAGTGACATATTCAGAATTGTATAGTCTATTTTTTGAGACTTGTCCAAAATACCTAATGTTAACTTTGCTGTAGCTAAAATCAGCTTTGCTCGGTTTAAGTACTTAGTGCTAAATTGAGTTCGGCACACAGTTAAATTAGGACCCATGTCCATTAGAAGTGCAGGGATTGAGGGAAAAGCTATTGCAAACTCGAACAGATTATTCTGCTGCTGTGGCTCCAAATGGAAGCCTTATGGTCCAAAACAAAGTGCTTGTGTAGTCTAAATTGTCAGGGTCTTAGACATCTTAAGAAACATTCCATTTCTTCTTAGTGGAAGTGGAAAACTGAAGGTTTTGAAGGCAAGTGTGTTGACCTTTCATCTGCAAGCCCTCTCCAAGTTCTCTGCTATACAGGTACTTCACACATATGAAGAGGGGAGGAAAAAATGGGAGTTGGCTTTTGAAAATGCAGTTGATGAAGATGCCTCTTCTACACAGGTCAAGTGATTAAATTCTTGCCTGAAATAAATGACCTCATCCGCTGTTTTTTGAGAAAATGGAAATAGTGCATGACTGTATCATGTATTCAGGGCTTTTTCTTTTTCTTTTCATTTCGCTGGTAGCAAATCCAAAAAAATACTGATCAAATTGTTCAGCTTCATTGTAGATGGCAAAACAGTGCCACAGAGGGAACTTTTTTGTCTTGGAGGAATCTAAAGAGCAACTGAAGCTCTAACAGAGCGCATTTGTTGGCTTAAAATGTCTGGCTAGAGAGCTGAGTCTTTAGCTATGCTTGAAAGCTTGATAAATTTTTCTTTCTCAACTGCTCGGTGCTGAAGGAATCTAAACAGCCATTGGCTGCTGCTGGTGTTGGGAAGAAACAGTATTTTTTTTTTGTAAGCTACTCGAGTCAGTAACATGATTAATATATTGAGTTGGTCAATTAATCCCTTGTTCTAGTCTCAATGTCTAGTCTCTTTTTCAGGGTATTTTTCATTTTGAAGAAAGAAATTACTGTAAAATGTCTTCTCCCTCTATCTTCCCTCTGCACTCTGTGCACTTTCTAATATTGTGATGGTAGTGATAGCCATTTTATGGTTAAGCTAAATGGTGTCTTTCTTCACACTTCATTTAGGTTTCAATATTCTGGACTTTCCTATTGTAAGTCTTCAAGAAAGAAGAGAAATGAGTTTTCAAAAATGTGGTTCTTATGGGGTACTTGACATAGCTACTACCTTTAAGTGCTTAAGTGAATATTGTACACTTTAAAAAATTGGAAATCAAGATGGTAAATAGAGATTTGGTTTCATATGATGCCTTAATCTTGAAGTAGGAAGTGGAAGAGTGGAGAAAAAGGGAAGCTGTGTTACTGTTTTGGTTTGATTTTGAGCTTGAAAAGTTTTGTGTCTTTCTCTTGGAAGGACCGTGAGAACAGTGTGCCAGCCCTGGAGGAAGACTTCCTTATCAGTCTGCTATTGAAACGCTTCCTGTTGACACTGTCTCTTTGGGGAACTCTACCCAGTTATCCAGGAAAGAGGCTGGTCTCATGTGACTTTAATGGAGAAAAATTAATAGGAATTTGCTTGGGGAGAGAAGACAGACTTGGAGGCCTCTGTTTGTGTGAGAGTAGTGCATTTGATTTGTAACTTGCTTGAACTCAGACTAGCAAGAATAAAACTTGGAGGTTTAGTATGGCAATTTAGACTTTAGTGCAGAATGAGCAAGCCATCAATAATCTTCTATATTTTTTTTTTTTTTCTGGAGCTGCTGCAGTTAAACTCTTGCTAACCTTTCAGCTTAGTTTAACACCACATTGATCATGCCAGCAGATGTTCCAGTCACACCTTCAAATTACAGTGGAGACAACTTTATTTTAATGCAGTGTCTCACAACTCTGAAGGAAGTGGGAAGAATGCTATCAAGTTGTATCAGCTGAGCTGAGAGAACAAACTTACTTAGAAGAACTCTGAAGTGAGGCATTACTGTCTGCAGCAGCAGTTTTAGTACCTGTATATATGCTCCATGGTTAGCTTTAGAAAACATATGCACATACAGTCACCTGTATGCAAGCCATTTGTGAGAAATGTGTTTGTGTGATGTTTCCAAGGGCATGTCATGGGTCAGTTAGCAAAAGAGTGTGAACAGTGTGCTAGAAAGAGATCATAGCCAGGAGGACATGGAGTCCTGTGTTGTTTTGTGCCTTTCCTTGATACCTAAGGATGCAGATTGGCTCAGCATTTCCTTGTTATGCATCTTCAGTATTTACAGGCACATGCATCAGATCGTTGTGGAACAAATCTGCCAAAAGGAAAAAAGTCTGCTTTTACTGAAGATGGGGTTGAAAAAAGCAAGGCGATTCTCTTAATAGTACGAAGCTATTTGGGAGATGGAGACTGGGAAATAAAGTGTCTAGGAAAGTGCACTTAAGCTGAGCTGCAGAGGTTGGATAGAAAGTTATATTTGTTACCATTATTTAGAGTTTCCTTCTGTACTGGCAAAATAGCCTGTGTTCCCTTGGTCTGTGCAGTTTTAGTTTTATTCCTTATATTTTTACCAGGAGACAATGATGTAGTACCCATGCTATGTGCTAATAATCCCTGGCTACTGGGAGAGCGACAGTAAATAAGACCATGAGCATTGCAGACTTACATTTAGGTCAAAGTTTTGTCTTTAGAATTAAATCACTCATCCACATAGTGATACATACTTTAGCAAAATGATGAGGGGCATTGTCCAGTTTCCCGTTGGAGAGTTTTGAATTTTATCAGTCAGCCAAGAAAATTTAGTGCTCAGCTTTGGTTGTTAATGGATATGTAGAGGGGAAAACGGTGGTTTTGCTCTTGTTTCATATGCTTGGGTTTGGTTAGTCTTTTGGTTACCCTGAGTTCCTCAGTCCTGTCCTTTTTGTTGTTAATTATACATACTTCTTGCTGTAGTTTTGAAACAAATGTTTATTGTGAAGAATATTCATGACTTGCATAGTACCTTTGTGCAAGGACCTTAGGTAGCTTCACAAGTGCTAATTATCCCATCAGAGTGCTTTGAAGTCCAGCTTGTGATCTAAGCCTGTTGGCTGTAACTAAAGTGACTGTTTTCCATCTCCACATCCGTGGTGAGTGGTGGAGCTTGATCTGCACAGCTCCTTTGCTGTGTTCCAGTAATGGCTTTGGATAAAATCAGTGGGCTGTATTGAAAAGCTTGATTGCTATGTTGTGTGGTGTTCTTGGTATCTTAGGGGAGCATTGATCAAAACCTAAACATTGTAAGAAGGAGAGAGTCTGCATCCAAATACATGTGAATAAATTGGATGGAGCAGACAGTTGAGTTCTTAGCTGAGCTCTAAACCTTGTGACTCTCAGGACCTGCTGCATTGAAAACAGGAGACTGCTGCAAAGTTTAATAGAGACTTGCCATTTGAGAAGAAAAATATAATACTTTGCTTTAGCTATGTTGCTGATACTGAATTAGTTGGCAGAAAACTAATTCATGGATAACGTTTTAATATGTAATCTTTCTGGTTTTTTTTCTTTCTTGTCTTTAGGAGAAGCCAAAAATCTTCCAACATATCCGGGGCCAAACAAGATGAGGGATTGCTACTGTACTGTAAACCTGGACCAGGAGGAGGTTTTCAGGACCAAAATAGTGGAGAAGTCATTATGGTAACACATGCATATACAAATGTTCTGTTAATTCTTCTAATTCTTTGCTTACCAGGTTTGTTTAATATTCCAAAGATACTTTCTTGAGGGGAGAAGAGAGGATGAATAGGATTCTTCTTCCAGTTTTGAAAACACTAGTGGTAAAAACAGTAGTGTCATGATACATATTTGTATTTATGGGAAAATGCCTTCACCAAGGCAACCCATATTAATTTTTTTTCCTAACAATGTACCACCAGTGCCCCTTTATTTCTGCAATAATTGTTTTGTATTTCCCTAAGCTTTTAAAAATCTCAATTTAGAAAAAGTGTATTTTGCATCTTTCCAGGTTCGGAATTTTGTGTTGGTCTGGCTGCCCTAGGGAGTTGAGTTAAGAATTTTACTTTTTTTTCCCTGTCATGAGGCTGTAACTGAAAGGACAGGTTTGAACATAAGATTCCTGTCTGGTTATCTTGGACAATTCATATGAGATTGCAGAGGTCAAATGTAGAATGAAACAGAATGAGAAGCATGTAGCAAAAGTTAAAATGCTTTCTTCTGGAAATCCTTAGACTTCAAAAAATGAAGGGAACTAGGCTGGGCATATGTATATTCTGGTAAGTAAGGCTTTTTTTTTTTTTTTAAGTGGAGAGGAAAGAAGCAGCAAGGAACAGTCAAGTTTATAACTTTTATCTTAAGAGATAACTCTCACCCTTTTCACAATTTGAGTAATGTGTTAGGAATTTGCTATTTGTCTTGTTATTGCAAATAATGTGCTTCAGGAAGTATCTCTAGACCTCACTCCCAACCACTCAGAAATACCTGACACATTCAGGAATGTGAGTGGGATTTATTCCTGAAAGTGTCTTTAGTTGTTCGTTCACATAAATTTTTGTCATCTGTAGGCCTTGGTGTTTTTGAGTGATGATGCTAATGCTCTTTTATTTGTATACAAACAAGACCAAATATTGGTCTGTATGCCTTCTTCCTCACCCCCATAGCTGACATGTAGTGTCCCTAAACCTAATATCCCTGAACCAGTTGCTTCTTTAGAAGTGATTTTGTAAGTTATATAAATTTTTTTTGTTGTCTCTTTGGGATTTTTAATTTTTTTTTCTGGATGATCATTAGTGCTTCACAGGAATATGGAAGACGGGAAGTGAGGATATGTGAGAATAGTTGATGTCATTTCCTTGAATTAATTCAAGCATTTTTCAATTGAAAAAATAAACTCTTGGTAATAAAAATAAGCAGCAAGTATAATTCCTTCAGTGGGAAAAGTTTCATCTGTCTTCAGATTTTCTTAGAAAGATGGAGAGGTACACCGGGGCTGTGAAAAAACTGGAAGGTTTCTAGTTTCCTGACAGGACTAAGTTAATGTTGTTAATTGTGGTGAATTCAGGGGAGAACTGAGCAATGATCAGAGGTCTGGAAAACGTAACCCGTGAGGAAAGGCTAAAATGCTGGAATTGTTTTGCCTAGAGAAGAGGGATGAGAGTAGACATAAGTATGTAAATAAAAAAAATTAAACAGAACCAAAAAAACCCCCAAACAACTGCCCCCCCGAAAAGATTTTTTTGAGAAGGAGGGAACTGATCTGTCCCTCCAGGATGGATATTACAAGGAATAATGAATTCAAATTGCAATGGGGAAGGAAGTTGAGATTAAAGTTAACTGTGAAGAAAAATCTCTGTTAAGGTTCTGAAACACTGGAGTAGATTTTGTTGGTTTTTGTGTTTATCACTGATGGCTTTTAATAGGTTCTATACGATCAGTCTCAACTAAATAATAAGGATCTTCCAGCTTTAAAACAGTAGTGGGACCAGATGACCTCTCAAAATCCCATTATGGACCTATTCTTTGATCTAAGGCTTGACTAAAGATGGTCTCTGTGATTCTTTCTTCTCCTAGTGAATTCCTGTCTCCAGTGGGAGCCTGCCTTCTCTCTGTGTGAGCTTCTCTTTTCAAATACTGTTTTTGGAAAACTTGCTGCTTTACAGTCTCTGAATATCCACTTGTAGACATTGATATCAACTCAGTTTTGCATTTAGTCATATAGGTGTTTCCCTGTCTTTGTTTTGCTGGGGCGTAAAAGAAAAGCAGACAAAAATCCCAAATACATGAGTGGTAATCCTGGGATATCTTCCCAATCTGTGAGTAGGAATTGCTCTTACTTTGTGAGGCACACTCAAACAGCTGCTTTATCTTTCATGACTGTGTTTACATCTTTTAAAACAAATGTGTATATAGACTTCCAGGAGAAGATGTTTCTCAAATGATACCAGACCCTACTGCAGTTGCCTATTGTTTTTTGTAGGATTCTGGGATAAGGAGCCAGTCATGCTGTTCCATTCTTTAATGCTTGTTTGCAGATTGATTTAAACCATTGAGTGAGCTATTGGGCAGGTGAGGTTTATGTGCCCTATGGGCCATGTGATTTCTGTGGAGCACAGAAATTCCTGCTCTCACGTACAGTGCTTCTTTGGCAGGTGCTTGCCAACTTAATCACCAGTTTTGTTGGTCCCTTTTTCTGAGATATTGCTGCAGTGATACACAGTGTTTGGGAACAGGAATGTGAAGTTGGGCCAGTGCTTGACTAAATTAATTGAGTCCTGCCTAAAATTCTGCGTGGCTGGCATTGGGGTGGGAGACACAGCTTGACACAGCTCTCCCCTGCAGTTTGAAGGGGAGGGAGAGCACTGGCTCTGATCTGTTGTTCATACCTGTTTTCTACTTCATGTCTGGCATGGGTCTGGCTTGCTATAAAGTTAGAAGAATTGCTTGTATTTTTACTAATGCAGTAATTTTACTAATAAGTACGAATTACTTATTTGAGCAATAAGCTCAAAAATTATTTTTGATGTAGTCTGTAGAAAACAAGGTGCTTTGTGTGAAAATCTGCATTATGAGGTCTTTCATATGCAGCCCTAGCACTACTGATTCTGGAATGATGTCTTGTCCAGACAGATTTATCCTGGAGAAGCCCATCTTTTGCAGCGTTTCTGAATGGTTTTTTCTTTCACCTGTATGGAAAGGCTTGTAATTGATAAAATTTCTTGTGTAGTTGTAAATTACTCTTTTTACCTCCATCTTTTTTCCCAGTTGAGCTTATTTAAGCATCTACTAAGCATTGCATAAATGTATATTTTTCCATGCAGGCCTTCTTCTGGTGTAAAGCTTAAATAGAACTGGCAGATGGAAAAAAGGAAGCGGTTATCTCTCCTTCCCAGGGGGACTTGGATGAATCTCCAATTCTGGCTTGCTTGGAATATCTGTTATAGAACCTTCAGGCTCTGACTCATCATCTCCTCTTTTATGCTGGGACAGTGTAAGAAGTTGCTTCCCTGAGCTCTGTCCTAATCTTCTGCAACGTATTTACTTTTTTTATTAGACTGTGGCAGAGGCATGAGAAGACAGCTGAGAGCAGTAACCTTTTAAATCAACAATGCATGAATCATTCAGAACTCAAAAGAATTGAACCAGCACATCCTGTTGTCCAGTCAAGTGCCCTTACCAGTGCTCTGAAGAGAATATCTATGAGCTTGATGCCCTTTATCTAAATTTGTGTCTCAAAAACTGAGAGGAGCCAGCATGGTGAATCTTACCTCCTCTGTTCAGCAGTCAGGTGGGGCTCATAAATTACAATGTGGAATTTAAATCATTCCTGCTATCCGGCCTCTTGGCTGCAGTTAAACTGGATGGTGGGCACTGGTGCTTTGTGCTGGAAGATTTTGAGGGCTGCTGCAATAAACTTAGTGTCTGGATGAAACAAGTCTAGGGTTGGTTACCACTGAGGCAGGCCTTCCTACAAAACCACAGAGCAACATGAAAGTGCTGTTTATATGGGTAGTTCAGAATCGTCCCACTTCTCTGGGGATCTTTGGGCAAGAATAGTGAATGTGTGAATTGGTCAGACTGAGGTCTCAAATCCAGGTTCTCAGGGAGAGAATCTTGAACTCTTCAAGCAGCACTGTTATTGTAAACTTGGCACAAGCTTTTACTAAATTCTAAGAAGGTCACATGCAAGTCATAAGATATGAGGGAGAGGTCAGTTAGAGCCAGGATTTAATATGCTTCTCTGTTTTGTATTTGTCATTCAATATTTATATTACCGTCATCTACAAAGACACTGAATAGATTTGGAGCCATTCCATATAACCTAGCAAAGATGTACGTGAAGGGACTCGTGTATTTATGTCCTAAGGAGCATGTTAGAAAGACTCTGTTTTTTTTAATGCAGAAATCTGCAAATTTTCTTTAGTTCTGAGCTGCAAGTAAACAGCCTGACAAGAATTTTGCCTATTAATTCCCTTTGCTCAATAAACTACTTATCTTCCCCCATTAGTAGCTTTCCCTACTTCAGGCTCCACCATCCAGGAGCGTTTCCTAGCTACAGATATTTCCTGAGCATGAACTTTCTTGGATTGTTGGTGTTAAGACTGACTTTGCCTTTGCAGTTTGCATCAAATGTGCCCATTCACTTAAAGGGCAGTGTCAGCTGCAACAGGAAATCAAGGCAGCTTCTCAAATCATAGGTGAAGAATGGAAGGAATGTGACATCTCTAAATTTGTTTCAAGGATATGAATAAAGGGAAAATCTGTCGTACGCTAAGAATCAAATGTCTGCCAGTGTATGCTTTAGAGAGGTGAGCCAAGCATCTTGAGTCTGTGATTATTTAGTTCACCACTATTTCACTGAGGAATTTTTCACGTGCTAAACATAGTGATCAAAGCCTGAATGAAACAGCAAATGAAGCCATAGGCACTTTCCCCACTTTCTTACCCCCCCTACCCCCTTCTTCCTTTTTTTTTTTTGGTAGTCTGGTGAACGTAGCAATGAGAACTACTAGTTTGCAGTGTGCTTGTGACTTTATATTGAAATGTGCTGTAAATTCGTAGTTAAGGCTATGTTCTCTTTAATAAGTAGCTGCTCTGTTTTAGGATTAGATCAGGTAACAAATTCAGCCAGTAGCTCTCACAACTTTAAGTTATTCTATTGCCATATTTAATGTAATTTTCTA